ACACACACACACACACACACACACACAGACTATTTTCATTCAGACATAGGCACAGAACATCTATAATAAAAATGTATTTGGTATGATCATAATATCAATAACGGAGATTACTTTATGACTTGTCTCCATTTTTTTCCTCTCAGGATTGTAGTTAGTGCCTATCACTGATCACATCAACGTGCAACATGGAGATACTGGGTCTCCCTATCTGGGCCATCTTGCTTCTTCTCATGCTAGTTTTGCTGTTGGTCTACGTGAGTTACATGTCCCGCCGCCACAACACGTTCAAAGACATGGGCATCAAGGCAGTACCTCCCACCAAAGTCTTCGGTAATCTGGGGCTCGCCATAAAGCACGGGATATTTGATGTCCAGACGGTGTTGTACAACATGTTCCGAGACCAGAAGGTAGGCTGTGAGGATTTTCTAAGATCTTTATTACAAGTTGTTTTCTTTTATTTGATTTACTTTTTTTAAACCATATATTTGCTGCCTGGGGTGGCTGCATGGCAGGGTCTCTAATAGAATTAGTGTCGCGACGTGGTGGAATGAGGCGCTCGTCAATTTTGGGCATGTGGAGTTATTGGTACATGTACCATCTGAAAGCTTATTCATTTTCCTTGCGTTCAATGAACAAAATACCCATCTGTCTTAAATAGAAGTCAAGATATTTGCAATTGAAGGAGTTGAGGTCGCCTGGTTTCAGTGGTGAAATAAGCGAGAAAATGGCCGCCAAAGTTTGGTAACTCCAGTACCTGAAGAGTCCTTGAAAATTGAAAAATGACATTCCGTGCCTTTAATCAACGTTTTATACTTAAATTCACATGGAAATGTGTTTTTATTATCGACATAAAAGGGGTTGAGCCAAAGGAGAAAAACTAGATATGAAAATTGCTAAAATGATGGTTAAATACCTTTTTCTCTGATTTTGTTATTTTGACGAGCGCCTGATTTCACCAAGATGCTTCACAAAGATTCTCTTACTGCTTGGATGTCAAAAAGTCACCATCAGTTTATGGAGGACAAACTGTATTTATTGTGGATTAGCTACGTGTTTCATTCGAATTGTCTTCATATCTGTGATGATTGTTAATATACAGTTGACTAATCTTTGTATCATTCTCAACTTGAAGTAGATTCTTCTACATTCCTGTCAAGATATTGTGTGTTTCTGAAAACAATATTATTAAATTTATTATTTATATTATGATCAGCATCATCATCATCATCACCGTGGGTGGTTAGTGGGTGCTCTGATGTGGCTAATTGCTCTTTCTAATTCCTATCAAACATCTATTGTTCTTATCTCCCCTCCTTCTGTTTTGTGTTTGTTACTCTCTTGTGACGCCTCAAATCTTCGGCACTCATATATATTATTTTGTGTTGCAAGAGCCGTAAAACCTTATTAAAACAAACAAACATCATCACCATCTTTATCATTATCATTATTATTATTATTATTTTTATTATTATTACTTCTGCGCACTGTGTTTTTGATAAACTTGACACTCGTCTTTTTCCTCCCACACAGTGTTATGGGTACTACGACACGCGTACCCCCGTTCTTGTCGTTCGAGACTTAGACATGCTGAAGGACATCTTCGTGAAGCATTTCAACAGCTTCAACGATCGCCGTACCCTGTTTGAGCAAGAGCCACCGCTTGATAAACAGCTCTTATCACTCAAAGGGGAGGACTGGAAAAGAGTGAGAAATGTCGTCTCTCCAACCTTTACCTCGGGCAAAATAAAACGAATGACGCCGCTAGTGGAACGGAACCTCAAAGTCTTGCTGGATATCGTGAAAGCGAAACAGGAGGGTGGGGAAGAGGTAGAGTTGAAAGAGCTTTGCTCTCGCTTTTCTATGGACGTCATTGCCAGCACAGCTTTTGGGACGGATATAAGTAGCCAGACAAATCCTGACGATGAATTTACGAAGCAAGCTAAAGCCGTTATGAATGGAATCAGTCCACTGTTACTCGCACTTATTATATTTTTCCCTTTCCTCCTGAAAGTTTTCCGATGGGTAGGACTTAAATTCAAAGGTCAGACTGCAGTGGAGTACTTGGATCGTTTTGTGGAGAAGGCTATCACAGAGAGAAAAACGGACGGACAAGCTGGAAAATTCAACGACTTCGTCGACTTGCTGCTCAACTCAGAGGCTCACGGGGAGGGAGAGAACGGCGTGACTGCAGCTGATCGAGCCAGTCTGAGCAAAGCAGAAATGCATGTAAGTCGATTGGTTTACAGCTATAGCCTACAATAAAGCTGGTGGCTGTGGTGTACGTAGTAGTACATTAGTGAGTTTCTTCGGCGTACTGCACCCAGAAGATGTAAATTTGATTCTTCTTTTTGGAAGTTATTTATTACATGTATTTATTCAGTGTTTTCATACTATGTGCAGAGATGTTGTATCCCCCTCATATTACAATTTGATATAGCCCAGATGATAATAATAATAGTAATAATAATAATAATGATAATAATAATAATAATTATAATGATGATAATAATGATAATAATAATGACAGACAGACAGACAGACAGACAGACAGACAGGCAGGCAGGCAGGCAGGCAGGCAGGCAGGCAGGCAGGCAGGCAGGCAGGCAGACAGACAGCATTGTATAGCGCAAATTCCTACTCACCAGGAATTAAAAAGCTTTATGCGCTTTACAATCATATACGGTTTCCTCAAAAGACCTGATAGCATAGTGAAACAATCTCAACTTCCTGGGAAGCGTAGGGCCTACAGTGCAAGCTGCCATTCATAGGCGCTAATTAAAACACTAACGTACTGACAAGATCTTTCGTTGCTTATGGCTAGGTACCCATTCCCAGTCCAACCTGGGTGAAGTGAGGAAAATTCGTGTACGGTGTCTTTTCCAAGAACCGGCAACTTCATGATAACGAGTCCGGTAGCCTAACCACTAGACTAACGACGCCGCACAAGGTCAAATAAACTGTCTACTAGGATGGGAGTTCAGGGGGAACAAACCATAGATTCCAATATGCAATCTTACTGTTGACGTTTTGTTCTACATTTTTGCATTTTTCTGATTTCGAACAATTTTGCCAAGCCTGATTTTTTAAGGTCAATTTTGAGTGACCATATCTCGGGCGTCTTTTAACGTAGATCGAAGAAATATTAATGTGTCAGGTGATGCAGAATTTATTCAGCTTTAAATCGGTATGCTGCATGAGCAAGCCTATAACACGATGATTGGGTGATTACAGTTTCAAGTTTCTTTTGGATGCCTGTAATATATATATTATATACCAGGGACGGCGGCAAGACTAAATCTCTTTTTATATTTTGTGGTATTATGGTGAAATCAGACACTCCATATGCCCAAAGTATGCTCTCTAACTAAGTATGTTTTCTTATTCTTTCTTTCACTATTTTTCTTCGACTTTGATCTCTCTCCCTTTGTTTCCATGTCTGATTTTCCTCTCGTACCACCTATTCATTCTATCATCTTTTCTTTTTCTCCTCAGGGCCAGTCACTGGTCTTCCTTCTAGCAGGCTATGAGACCACCTCCATAGTGATGGCCTTCACCTTGTTCCTGATTGCTAACCACCCAGACTGCCTGAGGGCGGCGCAGCAGGAAGTGGACCAGAAACTTGGGGGCGCGTTCCCTGACCATGACAGCATCCAGGACCTCACTTTCCTTGACATGTGCATCAATGAGAGTATGCGCATGTTTCCACCAGGACTTTTCATCGACAGGGTCTGCAATGAAGATATTGAGATTCAGGGTGTTCGCATTCCAAAAGGAATGGTCGTTTTGGCTCCAGTGTATGCCATTCACCATGATGATGAAATCTACCCTGAACCAGACAAATTTAAACCGGAGAGATTTCTTCCAGAGAATAAGAACTTGCGCCATCCATTTGCATTTTTGCCATTTGGTTCAGGTCCAAAAAACTGCATCGGGATGCGCTTTGCCTTAATGGAAATGAAAATGTTATTGGCGGCCATCTTACAAAAGTACACACCTGTTTCTTGTGAAAAAACAGTGTACCCTATCAAGATAACAAAAATGTTGTTGAGAGCTGAAAAAGATCTGTGGGTGAAATTTGAGCTACGAAAGTAAAATAAAAGAAATAAGGCCTTTTGATTCCTCTTTTAAAGAAGTTTTAGTTGTCATGACGAAGGCACGCAAAGGGAACAACAAAGCTAGACACTCACACAAACATACAAATCATAGTGAGATCCCTGAAGTGCAGTGCCTTGTTTTTAGGCTCACATTGACCAGGCTTTGTGGGGGACTCTTCCCCATGAACACTGAGCTAACGGTCGATGTTGCTTGGTGTAATATGGGGTTTTGTTCTTTAAGACTTTAAGAGGTCGTACGTTGTTCACCTCTTGGTCAAGAGATCCCTGGATCAAGACCTCCGATCAACTCTAATTTTTTTTTTTTCCTGCGTCTTTCTTTCCCATTCTCTAATCCTGTTCTGTCATCTGCTTTTCTCTCCACTTTCTCACCCATCTCCCCCCCTCCTCCCACCCCGCCTCTGTCTCTGTTCCTTTCTTTTCTTGTTTATCCTGGCTTGATCTTTCTGCTTTCTTTCAGCCAGACACTTGATCTTATTGTAGGTGAGATTGATTGAACACCGCCTTCTCGGATAAGGAATGAGGTTTCACAGATTTATTATTATTTTTGAAATGTCTGCAGATAACTGTTCACCTCACATTATGGACTTGACATTTTTGCTGACACAAGATGAACTCAGTATAATAAGAGGAACATTTTTATCCAATTTTAGCATGATGGTTCAGAATAATTCCAAGCTTTTAAATGTGTATTGCAACTGAAAAATGTACCTGTCATTTTTATCTTCACATTTGACCTTTCTGTGAATGGAAGGTAAAATGTATGGTATGCTGATTTGGTGGGATATTCTTTTTATAATCCTTCTCAGGCTTTGCCAATCTCATTGATAGTGGGATATGGTTCTTTATATCAATAGAATACAATTAACCGTATTCGTACGTCATGTTTTACTATCGTATCCATGCGACGTGGGGAACTCTTTGTGTACTTTCCAAAGAGGAAATTTACTCGTTAATCCTATCCATACGTTTTGCATAGCAGTCTGTCAAAATGGTTTTTTGAGAAATACTGAAAGTTTCAAAGAGATCTTCGAACTAGAAGTATTCTAAAATGTGAAGAATGCAACCTTGGGGGTACAAAATGACCCCAGGATGTACCGATAGAGTTAAATTAATTAAAACGTTAATGAACTTGTGCTCCAAAGTGTTCCTTCTTGCGACCGAAGTCTAAAGAGATGTTTTCACACTCTGCTATAAGAGATGTTTTCAACCATGCTATCAGAGATGTTTTCAACCATGCTATAAGAGATGTTTTCTCACCATGCTGTAAGAGATGTTTTCTCACCATGCTGTAAGAGATGTTTTCTCACCATGCTATAAGAGATGTTTTCTCACCATGCTGTAAGAGATGTTTTCACTACATGCCAAAGAGGAGTTCTTTATACAATGAGATTAGTACTCCATAGATATTAAAAACCTTGAAAAGTACACTGTATTCAGTACGGATGTCTACAAAATGTTCTTGTTTAGTTGTTGAGTTGTACCCATGGAGTACATTTGTTGCTGTCTTCTCAGTACATAGACTGACAATGTTTTTGCACCGCAAGATCTTTCATGTGATTTATTATTCCTTTGACTCGTTCCATGTACATAAGCAGATATGTTATGTTATATGTTATATATTATATCTTTGTCTTTGTTTTGATGTAGCGACCTTACCAGGCGGAACGTTCTAAGAAATTTTTCTGCCGATTATCTTTTTACGAAAATCTAAAGAAATGATAGTGAGGCATTGTGGTGAAATCAAGTGCTCGTCAAAATAGTGAAATCAAAGAAATCTGCATTTTTTTTGGCTGGTGGGCAATTTTTTTTCTAATTTACTATTTTGGTTCAACATTATTGATGTACCATACATTTAACAACACATTTTTGTGAGCATTTTACTGAAAATGACATAAAATGTAAATTTTTAGTTTTCAAGGACTCTCAGGCTATGGAAGTTACCAAATTTTGACGTCCACTTTCTCGCTAATTTTACTTCTGAAACCAAGTGACCCTGATCTCCTTCTATCACAAAAATTTTGACTTCATGGATATTTTTTGGACTAGTCAAATGAACAGTCTTTTAGATGATACCAATAATTCGACGATATTATTATGCCCAAAAATAAATTGACGAGCCCCTGATTCCATTTGGGATTGATCAAGGTTATTGTTTGGGGTTTTTTTTATAGTTTTTCTTGCAAGTTCAGTACAGGTTCTCAACTATGCCCGCAAGACAAGTCAAACAAAACATGATAATTTTTTTTACCTTCTATAAAAAAATCAGTGAAGTTGAGTGACAAATAAAAAGTGCATTGTTTAAACCATGCATGAACTTACACAGGATTTCACAGGGCATTATAGTGATTCTTTAAGAAGAATCCTAAGTTTTGTTTGTGTTTTCTTTTAGAATCTACTTCTCATTATTTTCTATCTACAATGTCAGTTTTTAGGTGTGGTTATTGGAGTAGTTTTCCTTCTTTTTTTTTTTACATCAATCAAATAATATTATGTCAGATATATGTAAATAAAAGGAAAAATACAATGTAACGAGCTTGATTGCCATTTGTTTTTATCTATATCATATGAAAAGACAAATCATTCATACCAGAAACAAAAGTGAGCAGGTCATACAATAACAATTTTTAAAGAGTAGAAAACTCCCTTTTTTATAATGTCTAGTCGTAGTTGTCACAATCTGGCTTCAAAATGATAAAGGGAAATAATCGTGAAGTTTTAGAAAATAACGATAGTTTGCTCCAATGGTAGGTATTTTCGATTCCCTCTATTTTGATTCTCTGGTCCCACCAGCAGTGAATGCTGGACAGTCACTTTTGAAGATAGTGAGAATAAGATAGAAGCAACAAAACGTGTGGTTTCGTAGGAGACTGCTGAGAATATCGTGGAAGGAAAAGATACCAAGTGTGGTTCCCAGTACTTGTTGAACCCCACATGATGTGAGCAATTCTCAAAAGGTGCTCACTCAAGTTGCACTGGGTTTGACAGGAGCTCTGGGCCTACTGGGTCTCTCCGTAGTGTGAGCAATAAATGGTTGATATCCAGATGCCAAGAGAAATGAATGGTTAAACTTGCTTAGGCGGTTTCAGGGCCTTGTGTGTGTGTGTGTGTGTGTGTTGTGTGCCTATCTTTCCCCGTCGTTTTATGCAAGAAAAATTCTGAAATTATGCAAACTGAGCCCAAAAATGTGAAATTATGCGATTCTGTTAATTTTAAT